CTACAGTTTTCTCTGCGTTTTTATAAAGAAATCATAAAAACTTATGTAAAACATAGAGAGAGACTTTAATGTGAACTCATGATCTAAAATTAGCAAATATTCACTTGTTACCATTGTGGTTTTCAATTTGTGTTAGTGTTTACTGTGTGTTATGGGCAAGAAAGAGTTGTGTTTTACAATCATGACCTAATTAATCCATGGAATAAACCTATGAATTAGGTAATATATATATATATATACTGTTTTGGGAGAGGTTCTTGCTATAGGGTGCGTGCACTCGCCAGAAAGACAGAGAGAGACAGAAAGCGAGAAATCACTCCCTAGGGGAGATGGCCATGCCGCATCCCTTCTCCTCCATTCTCCTCTCGGAAAGTATGAGCCCTAGTAATTTCTCACTAATATTTGTGTATCCTTCATTAATTTCTGAGTATAAGAATTCCCATTAAGTATTGTTATAGAGAGGCACTTGATTGAGTAAAGCACTATTTGCTATTTTAAAAGTGTAACACCATTGAGTTTCAGTCCTAGTCCCAAATCCATTAGTTCACTGTATCCTTCTAGATACAGTCTACGAACTTTTGCTGTATATATTCACAAATGTATATACCAGATACTCACAATGTGTATCATCATTAAAGATTTAAATGTGACTTTACATATAGAAATCTCAGGATGCTATAAAAGTTGTAAAACTTTTTTCCCTAAATATTTTGGTTATTGGTATCTATTTTATTTCATCACATATTTGGTATTCAATTGAATGGACAAATATATAAACATTTATTCATATGTGATCTTACATCTTTCATTAATGTGAATATTTCTGATATGAGTCTTTGGTAAATATTCCCTGATGGAAGTAGACATGTGTTTCTCTTCTTAAAAATTTAACCCTGGGACCAGCAGTTAGCATAATAGCTACAACGCTGGACTCCCATGTGGTCGACCACGGTTCGAGTCCCGGACCTGGTGGCTTAAACTCACGCCGGGTGAGTGTGCGTGCGTGCCCAAGATCCCAAGAAGAGAATGGAGGAGAAGGGATTGCGGCATGACCATCCCACCTGGGGGGTGATTTCTCACTTTCTGTCTCTATGTCTCTCTCTGTCTGTCTGGCAAGCGCACGTGCCCTATAGAAAAACCTCTCCAAAAAAAAAAAAAATTAACCCT